TGATGTGAGGAGTATTAGTCATCCAAGTGCAGATGTCAAACAGGCAGACAGACAGGGAGGCCCTGGGAGAGAAATGACTTCGTAGCAATGACTGCCATTTAGGGAGAACCTCGTAAGTGAACATGGGTCAGTCTAAACTTTCTACAAATGTGTCATTTAATTCATTTCACGGCCCCTTGAGGTCAGAATTATTGAGGTGTCCCCTGAGGCAGCTGAGGCTTAAAGAGGGCGAGGTGCCCACAATCCCCTGGCGTGTGGGGAACAGAGTCAGGTCTCTGGCCATCTCCAGGGCCCCGGTATTTTCAGGACACTGTGCATCGTCACCGTCTACAGTGAAGGAGGCTGAGGTCACAGGGAGTGGCTGTCCCCCAAGTCACCCAGCAAGAAGCAGGCAAGAGGGCCAAGACCAAGCTCCCAAGGTTCTCAGCCGGAAGGGACTCTCTCTCCCTTCTAGTCCACCCTCTGCACTGAGGGCAGGTGGGGGCGCAGTTCTGCCCAGATTGCCCCCAGAACAGGTGCTCACTGCCTTCCCAGGCAGCCCATTCCTCCCCTGGACAGGCAGACACAGCCGTGCCCTCATTTTGAGCACAGCTGGTCACAACATAATCCACGTCGTCTCCAGACCCCATCCCTTCTTGTCCTCCCCACTCTGGACTTAACTCTAGGCTGTCCATGTCTTAGAACTGGTCATAGTGCGTCCAGTTGGGGATGGCCAGTGGTAGCCGTGCTAGCCGTGGTGGCCGCCAGAGCAGGTGTGGGGGCCCATGATGGGGCGCCAGGGGAGTCTTCCTGGCGTGCAGGGGCGGGCGCTGCCCCCGGGTTGGGTGCCGCCGCTGCTCTGGGCTCAGGCCTCCTCTAGTTTTTCCCCCAAGGTGGAACCGAGCCAGGTGGGAAATGACCAGGCACACTCCAGGTCACCCGTGTGTCATGTAAACCGTGCCTCGCAGTCTTTCTGCCCCCAATCTGTAGCCAAGATCTCAGCTGCAGCAAAGCACAGCCTGCTCCAAACACCAGCAGTCCCTAGGTTTTACCTCATTCATTTGCTGAGAACTCACCGGTGGCCTGTTAGGTGCTTCCACTGAGATGGGGGTGATCCGAATACAGCAATAAGCAAGAATGGGCCTCTTCACTTCTCAGCTTTGATGGGGTGTGCTAGCCCTCTGGGCTAATCTTCCTCTTCCTCAAAGGTTAGAGACTGAGCAGGTGACACACCAAATATCCTGGCAGCGGCTCTCTCTGCCACTAGCATCTCCGTGCTTTCTCTAACTTCTCCACCGTCTTGGTCTTGCTTCCACAAGTGGCTTCAGAGCGCACCCTTTCTTTAGATTGTGGAGAAATGGGGCCACCTGCTGGCCAACCCCAGTCCTGAGCCAGCTCACTTGTTCACCCCAAACCTTCTCTTTCTCATTCTTTTTTTTTTTTTAAACTAAACCAAATGCCTTAATTTTTTAAAAATATTTTCTTTATTTATTTTTCGAGAGAGGGGAAGGGAAGGAGAAAGAGTGGGAGAGAAACATCAATGTGTGGTTGCCTCTCATGCGTCCCCTGCTGGGAACTGGCCTGCAACCCAGGCATGTGCCCTGACTGGGAATCGAACCGCGATACTCTGGTTCGCAGGCCCGCGCTCAATCCACTGAGCTACGCCAGCCAGGGCCTCTTTTTCTCATTCTTTAATTCCCTTAGTCAACAAACATGTAGTGAGCATTCCCCATGTCCAGGCACCTGCTGCGTGGGGCCCGCAGTGAGGAATAAGGCAGCCAAGTCTGTGCCCTTGTGGGGCCGGCATTCACGCTGGATGGGGAGACAGGATGCTGACAACTGCTGTGAAAGAAAGGAAAGAACTGTCTACGGCCGTACCACCCTGAACGCGCCCGATCTTGTCTGGCCTCAGAAGCTAAGCAGGGTCGTGTCTCGTTAGTACTTGGATGGGAGAAAGGAAAGAAGTGACTGAGGGAAAGGGAGACTCCTTATACGAGTGAGCAGCCAGGGGAGGCCTCTCTGAGGAGGGGGCATTTTATAGAGACTTGAGTGATGAGGAGACTGGGGCTCTGGCCCGGTGGCTCAGTCGGCTGGAGCATCATCTATACACCAAAAGGTTGCAGGTTCGATTTCTGGTCAGGGCACATACCGGAGAGAAACAATCAATGTTTCTCTCTAACATCGATGTTAAGAGAGGAGACAGACCTCTCTTCCTCTCTAAAATTAATAAGCATGTCTTTGGGTGAGACATGGATTTAAAAGGGGGAGGTACAAAGCTACAACAGCACGTACAAAGGCCCTGAGGCGGGGACTCCTTTCTTGGCCTCAGTAGCAGGAAGGAAACCAGTGTAGCTGGATTAGAGTCAGGGGGTGACAAAGTCATGGGAGGTGAGGGAGGAGAGGCAGGCAGGGGCTGGCTCACGCAGGGCCACCGCAAGGAGCTGGGTTATATTGCAAATGTGATGAAACCCAAAGGAAGTTTTCTGGTTTGATTAATATTTTAGAGCAGGAACTAGGGTTCCACAGAACACCCCCACCCAGGGTCTGTACATAGAATTCAGGGGAGTCCATGAACCCGGATGGGAAAACAGTGATGTCTCGGTTTTTATTGTCCTCCAACCCAAAACACAGTATTTCCTTCTGTTATGAATATGGGCGATTGCCCGCAGTGATAGCAGTGCGTGGGCCTTGCCGCCGGTGGGACGCACAGCTATTTCCACGTTCTGTGCAGCTGTTGCGGGTCTCTTAAAATACTGTCTTCACTCATTACTGCCTTGAGGTTGTTGCCCTTGCCCCACTGCTCGGCGTTAAGTAATGTGCCGATTAAAGAAACCCACAGATTATGGTCGTCACAATTCAAAATACTTTTGATGATTGTATATTATATTTTATGCATTTTTCTAAAAAGATTTTATTTATTTATATTTAAAGAGGGAAAGGGAGGGAGATGGAGAGAAATAGCGATGTGCGAGAGGAACATCAGTGCGTGGTTGCCTCTTGCACGCCCGCAGCAGGAGACCTGGGCTGCAACCCAGGCACGCGCACCGACTGGGAATTGAACTGGTAACCCTTTGGTTTGCTGTACGGTCGTCCCACTGAGCTGTACCAGTCCGGGCTGTGCATTTTTTCCCCTTTCATACTGAGAAGGGGCAGTTGGTTTTGTGAGGCACCGAAGAATTTAGAGCGGGAATGTTTTAGAATGTTTTGGGCGGGATTTGTGGTGGATGGGAGGGGTGGGGAGAGGATGAGGTTGAGGGAACCGAGGTGGACCCCCAAGTTCACAGTCTGAGTAATGGACGGGCTGTGGACAAATTCCTCAATTGGACTCCTCAGTGCCAGACCCCACTGCACACTGAGTTTCATCTTCTCCACCCTCTTCCTCCTCCTGCTGATTCAGGAAAAAATCTGCAGACGCCGCCCTTTTGGGCTTTTGGGGAGGAAGGGGGCCTTTCACTGAGGGTCCAGCTTGGGAAAGACAGGAGTTAAATATTTTAATTACCAAGCTCAGGGTTATAGAAAATCAGGAAAATACTAGTGATAAGACTTTATTTCTGTTCTTGTTTGATTCAATTCAGTGCTTTTCTTTCTTTCTTTTTTCTAGATTTTATTTATTTATCTTTAGAGGGTAAGGGAAGGAGAGAGGAAGAGAAATGTCAATGTATGGTTGCCTCTCGTGGGTGCCCTGCCGGGAACTGGTCCAAAACCCAGGCATGTGCCCTGACTGGGAATCAAACCGCAATCCTTTGGTTCTCAGGCCCCCACTCAATCCACTGAGCTACACCAGCCAGGGCCCAATTCAGTGCTTTTAATGGGGGCTTACCAGGCCCTGTAAGCACATGCCTGGGATGTGGGCTGGGTCCCCAGTTGGGGGCATGTGAGAGGCAGTCAGTCAATGTATCTCTCACACATCAATGTTTCTCTCCCTCTTTCTCCCCCCCTTAATCTCTCTCTAAAAATAAATAAGTAAAATCTTAAAAAAAAAAATGAACCAATGAGCCCTCGGGGTTGGGCGTTGTACTACTAACCAAAGTGTTGCCGATTCAATTCCCAGTCAGGGCACGTGCCTTGGTTGTGGGCCAGGTCCCTGGCTGAGGGCATGCAAAAGGTAACCAGTCGATGTTTCTCTCCTTCTCTTTCTCCTTCCCTTCCCATTTGTCTATAGATAGATGAATAAACAAACAAACAAATAAAATCTTAAAAAAAGAGAGAATCAGCCCTGGCTGCTGTAGCTCAGTGGATTGAGCTCAGGCCTGCGAACTAGAAGATCATGGCTCAATTCCCAGTCAGGGCACATTCCTGGGTTGCAGGCCAGTTCCCAGTGGGGGATGCACGAGTGGCAACCATATATTGATGTTTCTCTCCCTCTCTCCTTCCCTTACCCTCTAAAGATAAATAAATAAAATTTTAAAAAGAGAGAGAGAGAATCAGCCAATGAATGCATAAATAAGTGGAACAAATTGATGTCTCCCCCTCCCCCTCCCTCCCTCTTTCCTTTCCTTCTTCTCTCTCTATAATCAGTCAATCAATCAATCAATAAAGAGGAATGAGACATGGCATCTGCCTTCTAGAGTTTCAGTCTAGCTGAGGGAAGTATGTGTAAGTAAATGCAATGCATCGTGAGAAATGCAGAGTGCAGCAGGTGGGCACAGTTTTGTGGGGTCTAACTTTTATACAATGTTCAGGGTCTTTTAGAGAAAAGGAAGACAAAGTTATGAGGCCAAAATCAGGCGTGGGGTCTTAGAAGTTTCCATCGTAAGTGGGGCTAAAGCCTGAGCTTCCCTCACTTCGGGGTCAGTCCATATGCAGGAGGGAGGCGGCCATGCAGTTTTTATTGATGGGTGGGGAGGGAGCTTACGAAAGGGAAATTAGAATGGACACAGTTTCAAAGGACAGAGCATTAGGATTCAAAGCCCATCTATGCCGTGGTCTTAGATGATCAGGAGTAAGAGTGAGAAAGGTGAAAGGCCCAGGTACTCCACCCACTTTCCAAAGCACACGGACAAAGCAGAGACCTTTGCAGGTGGGCAGGGAACAGCCCTGAAATGTGGCGAGATGACTGGCTTCAAGCAGGAGACTAAAGACATGCCTTCCTATGGTCTGTTGGCCATGTCAGAACTTAGGAAATAGAATGGTCAATTGATTAGAAAGAAACATCTGAGTCACTGGGTGGGGTGGAAGGAATATGGCAAGATGACTGATTGGGGAAGCAGAGATGCTGGGCAGAAGTGACTGAGCAACATTTCTTTCTGTATTTGGACTAAGGAGATGTTCAAAGTTCAAGCGGTCCAGAGGGTTTACAGTGTTGCCAGTTTCCGGTACAGTTTCCTAGACCTAACCCATGCATACCCAAGCAGAACCCTACATATAATTTTTTAAAACACAAACAGTAGTGCACATCACACCCGCTGTTCTGCCTCTTGAGCTTTCTACTCAACAGAACATCTTGGAGACTGCGCCACAACGGGGCATAAAGAGCCTCCCCATTATTTTTCGTGAGTGCGTAATATTTCATTATGAAGCTCCACCCTGATGCGCTCACTTGTTCCCCTACTGCTGCATGCTCAGCTGGTTTCCACTCCTGCCGAAACACCACTTGCAGCTGGGAAATATCCTTCTGGAAAGGTCACTTTGCACAGGTGTGCATGTATCCCTAAGATAAATTCCTAGACATGGGATGGCTGAGTCAAAAGGCATGTGCATTTGTAACTTTGATGGGCATTGCCAAGTTACCCTCCCTGCAGCGACGATGTGCAAGAGCGTTCCCCTCACACCCTAACAAAGCGTGTCACGCACTGTTATCTTTGCTGACCTGAGAGGTAAAAATAGTATCTCGGTGCTGGCGTAGCTGCGTTTGTTTTATTGTGAGTAACCTTGAATCTTTTTTGCACTCAGAGCTCTTTTTATTTCCTTTGCTGGGCAGTCACCAGGCCTATCTGCTGACCAGATTACTATTGGGTCGTTAGGTTTTTTTCTTATTGATTTTGAATTGCTGTTCATATATTGAGGAATAAGCACTTAGTGTTGTTGATTCCTTTCATTTTCCCCCAGCGGTTCACCTCCTGGGACATTAAGTTGGTCTTTGGAATAAAAATTAGCATTGGGCCCTGGCTGGTGTAGCTCAGTGAATTGAGTGCAGGCCTGCAAACTAAGGGATCACGGTTCGATTCCCAGTCAGGGCACATGCCTGGGTTGCAGGCCAGTTCCCAGCAGGGGACGCACGAGAGGCCACCATACACTGATGTTTCTCTCCCTGTCTCCTTCCCTTCCCCTCTAAAGATAAATGAATAAAATCTTTGAAAAAATAACATTGGGAGGAATTGAGGAGCCTGTGTCATGCCCCCCAGTTTCTCGGAAGGAAAAAATATTTCACGTGTAGGTAATATACAGGGAGGGGCAAAAGTAGGTTTACAGTTGTTCGTATGGAAGGTACTACAATAATTAATAAATAACAATACAAGAATTAGCTGTTTGGCGTATTCATGACGGCAAACCTACTTTTGCCCCAGCCTGTAACTTGCAAGTGTACATAAAAGTTGCTAATTATGAAACATCAGTCTTGGTTCATTTAACGAATGTGTGTGGAGCACCCATGGTGCCTGACGCTGTTCTCGGACCCGAGATCACAGTGGGGACCAGCAGTCCCCACCACGCTCTCACGCTGCCACGCACTGACCTGACGGCGAAAGTGTAAACAGAAGGGTCATCTCTTTTTTTTTCCAAAACATTTTATTTATTTGTTTGTTTGTTTATTTATAGAGATAGGAGAAGGGAAGGAGACAGAGTAGGAGAGAAACATCAATGTGTGGTTGCCTCTCAGGTGCCCCCGGGCATGTGCCCTGACTGGGAATTGAACCAGTGACCCTTTGCTTCACAGGCCCGTGCTCAATCCACTGAGCTGCACTAACCGGGGCGCCAGAAGGTTCATCTTGGGAGAGTGATGAGTCTTGTGAAGGAGGTGAAATGGAGGTGGCGAAGGGAGGAGGTGTGGTGACGGGCTGGTTGGGATCAGGGGGGCGAGGAGGGCATCTCTGAGGAGATGACTGCGTGTTCGGAGCTGAGGGACAAGGAGGACCCGGGCTAAGTGTGAGGACTGGAACTGCCTGGCAGAGAGAACAACACACGTAGAGGCCCTGAGGTGGGTGTTGAGGTCACGAAAACTGGCTCAGGCCTCAGTGTAAGGGACCCTAGAGGCCAAGGAAGGAGTTCGGGCGTAGTGGGGTGGGTTACAAGGGCCCACTGAAGCGCTGGCCGGCTGGCTCAGTGGATTGAAGTGTTGTCCCTGTACACCAAAAGGTTACAGGTTTGATTCCCGGGCAGGGCACCTACCTAAGTTTCTGGCTCCATCCCTGGTTGGGGTGTGTTCAGGAGGCAACCGATCGATCTCTCTCTCTCTTTCTCTCTCCCCCTCCTTCCCTTCTTCTCTTTCTAAAAATCAATTGAAAAGATGTCCTTGGGTGAGGATTTTAAAAGCGAATCCATTGGCTCCTCTGTGTGTGAGGGGGTTTTGCTTTTCCTTTTGCAAATATCCAAACCCAAAAGAAAAGAGAAGATATACGGGACCACACCTATCTTCAACCAGCTCAATAGATATCAACATTTTGCCAATCCTCTTTCATCTATACGTTTACTTTTTTGGTGGAGGGGCTGGATTTATTGCTTTCCCTCTTTCCCTACCTCATTCCCCTTAAAAAAAAATCTTTTCATTAAAGTATAACAAATACCAAAAAGTGTACAAATCCTAGGTATACAGCTCAGCGATGCTCTCTCACTGAGCATGTGCATCTTGCTGGTTCTCAGATCCGGAAACTGAATATGGCAGCTTCCTGGACGCCCCCTGTGGTCCCTTCTAGTTTCCACCTCCCAACGTCTAGCATGCAAATGGGTCGTAAAAGAAATCACACAGGATGTTCCCTACTGTGACCGGCTTCTTTCGCTCATCGTTACGTTTGGGAAGTTTTACTGCTGTGTGTCACTGGAGATTGCAGACTGCTCCTCCTCATTGCTGTCACATTCCACGGGGCACAGTTTATTGACCCCATCGATTGTTGGTGGGTGCTTGGGCTGCCTTCAGGTCTTGTCTGTTCCAAGTCGTTCTGCTAGGAGCATCCTAGCATGTCTTTCGGTAAATTCGTGTGCGCACTCGTGCCGGTTGAAGCCCAGGCATGGGATTGGCTTTTGTAAATGGTGCCTGTCTTCATCTGTTAGAGCTGCCGCCACAAAGAACCGCAGGCTGGGTTCTTTGGAACCGCAGGCTGGGTTCTTTGGAACCGCAGGCTGGGTTCTTAAACCACGGAAATGCATCCTCTCACGGTTCTGGAGGCCAAGTGCAAAATCAAGGTGTCAGCAGGGTTGGTTCCTCCCGAGGGCTGTGAAGGAAGGGTCTGCTTCGGCTTTTGTCCTTGGCTTGTAGGTGGCCGTCTTCTCTCTGTGTCTTCACATCACCTTCCTCCTGTGCGCGTCTGTCTCTGTGACCAAATTCCCCCTTTTCGTGTGGAAACCAGTCATAGTAGATTGGGGCCGACCTTAGTGACCTCATGTTAACTGGATCCCATCTGCAAAGATCCCATATCTCAATAAGGGCTCCCTCTGGGGGCCTGGGGGTGGGGGTGCCAGCCTGTGCATTTTGACGGGAACACAGCTCAGCCCCTAACAGTGCCAAAGTTTCCCAAAGTGGTTGTCCAGTCTCCTGACTCACGATGTGCTGGAATACTTCAAAGTTCATTCCAGATATGATGCCATTTGCCTGGGGCGTGTTTTAAAAGAGGGAAGACTTGGTCTGATTCACATTTTTAAGCAATTCTATTTGATCCGTGGGGCTGTAAGACAAGGCAAATAGTTCACCAAGAAAGAAAAGGTAATAAAGAGTGAGCTCTCCTGGGACGGCCCAGGCAGGACACTCCGGAAGCCTGGGGTTGGGGCAAACCTCCCAGGTGCCCTTAGCTCAGGGGTGCTGTTCGTTCCTCCCTGCCTGGTGCCAGGCCACCCTGTGCAGCGCCCCTGGAGGCTCAGGCGAGGCAGAGGGGCTCAGGCTGTCTTTCTGTCCACCCCGTCCCTGACAGGACATACAGCAGCTCCTCCAGCTCCAGCAGCTGGTGCTTGTGCCGGGTCACCACCTCCAGCCACCTGCTCAGTTCCTGCTGCCGCAGGCCCAGCAGAGTCAGCCAGGTAAGGCCCCCACCTGATGGCCTCCCTGCTGCCCCCACAGAACTCCCCCTCCTTTTCTCACCCTGTGTGTCCCCCTTGTCCTCCCAGGCCTGCTACCGACGCCAAATCTATTCCAGCTACCTCAGCAAACCCAGGGAGCGCTTCTGACCTCCCAGCCCCGGGCCGGGCTGCCCACACAGGTGAGTTCCCCCCCCCCCACCCCGCCCAGTGCACTTGGCTGGGCCAGCAGCAGGGCTGTGGAAGGCTGGGTGAATGAGGGTAGGGTTGTGGCCAAGGGTCTCCTCTCCCTTTGGCCTACTCCACAGCCACAGGGCCAGAACAGGCATTGGGAGACCTGGAACCCAGCCCTGTTCTACCACCAATTTGCTGTGGGACCTCAGGGAAGCCACTCCCTCTGTCTGGATCTTTCTCTGCAGCAGCGACTTGCTACTGACGCCACAAGAATTTAAAAAACATGCAGTACCTGACTACTTAGTCAGGGGCACTGACCTTTTTCTTTAGGTTGTCAAATTTAAAAAAATGACAACAGCCAACACAATAATAGCCATCTGGTGTGAATGAATCAAAATTATACCTATTTTGTTGTCGGGTTAGCAAAAAAGATTTTTTTGGTATGCTGCAGACTTTTCGTAGCTTATGTCTGACATGAGATGCAAAAGGTGGAAAATCACTGCTCCGTAGGGTGAGGGGAGTCAATCAGACCAGTGGCTCTTAAACTTTCAGGCACACAGAATCCTTTTTTGGGAATCTGATGAGGATTTGGATCTGACCCCCAGTAGCCCTGGCTGCTCATGTGCACACACAGGAAATTTGGGGGTTAGAAAGCCTTTACATTCCAGTGCCCTGGGTCTGTTCCAGGGCCGCAGATGGAGGGTTCGCTGAGGAACGGTCTGTTGGGTGCTAGTTCACACCCCCTTCCTAGACCAGACACCGAAAACAAGGGCCCACAGATATGTTTTATTCGGCCCACACCACGTTTTAAAAATTAAATTAGTCGACAAAATTCCCAGAAAACGCCAGATCCCCACCTTTTCTTTTCTTTTAAAAAATATTTTATTTATTTATTTTTAGAGAGAGGGGAAAGGAGGGAGAAAGGGAGAGAGACATCAATGTGTGGTTGCCTCTCATGCACCCCCTACTGGGGACCTGGCCTACAACCCAGACATGTGACCTGACCAGGAATCGAATCCACGACCTTCAGCTCGCAGGCCAACACTCAGTCCACTGAGCCACGCCAGCCAGGGCATCCCACCGTTTCTTGACAAACTAGACACTCTGGCAACACTGATCTGCATCCACATGGCATGGTGGCAGCTGGCGGCTGGCCACTGGCTAGAGCAGAGGTCCCGTTGAACAGAGGCTGTGAACTCTGCAGGCCGCCTTGGCCTCCTCCTGGCTAGCCTCCACGGTGTTTCCTTGTTTGTTGCCTGGGCTCTAGACTTTCACAGTGATCTTTCACAACCTCTTACAGATTTCAAATTTCCCTCCTACCCATTTTTGGAATGGCCCTTTCAAAAAGTAATATGAACTGTTTAGAAAACACTAAAAGTTTAGAGACTAATAGGGGGATTAGCTGGGGTTGTGAAATCCAGTAACGCTCGGAAATTAAGTCGTTCTTGTAATGTGGACACCGGAAGTCATTTGGCTGCAGAACCCGTCCTGACCTGATGCCGGGTGGCCAGTGGCTTTTCTTTCTCTCTCTCTTGTAGTCCAGGCCTTGCTGAGAGTTGTTAATGTGTCCAACTACAGGGTGACGGTTTGACCCTGATGGTGGTGGTGGGGGGGGGTCGCATCATCTATGATATACGCCCCATGTAGGCTTTCTAAAGTCTGAAAATTTTCTGAATTCCCAAATATATCTGGCCCTAGGGTTTTGGATAACAGATCAAGGGCCTGTGTGACCACCTTCCCTGCACCCACCACCTGCTTCAGATCTCTTGTTCGAGGGAGATGAGGCATTCCAGAAAAAGCTATTGCTTCTTTGTAAATCAGTTGCCCTTCCCATCTGCTTTTTAATACTTTTACTTTATTTGAGACCTGCCATTTTTAAGAGGCCTTATTTATTTATTTATTTTTAGAGAGGGGGGGAAAGGAGGGAGAAAGAGAGGGAGAGAAACATCAATGTGTGGTTGCCTCTCATGCGCCCCCTACTGGGGACCTGACCTGCAACCCAGGTGTGTGCCCTGACTGGGAATCGAACTGGAGACACTTTGGTTTGCAAACCAGCACTCAGTTCAGTAAGCCACACCAGCCAGGGCTCAACCTACCATTTTAAACCAAGTTTCCCCAACAACCCCACGGGGTAGGCAGAGCAGCTATAATGGTCCCATCCTGCAGAGGGGGAAACTGAGGTCTGAGGAGGTTGAGGCTTGTCGAGTTACCTGCAATTCTGTAGCAGAGCCAGTCCAGGGAGAGAGCCCTTGGAGCAAGAACCCTCCCCCTGGGAGTTTCCAGGCTGGGAGGGAATCCACAGAGAGTTCCAGCAGCGAGAAAGAAGCCCCATGTGGGGCAGCAGAGTGTAACTTCTTTATTTAAATATTTTTCCTTAATTTTATTTATTTTTAGAAAGAGGGGAAGGGACAAAGGGAGGGAGAGAAACATCGATGTGTGAGGGGCATTTTGCGTCATGGGATGACACCCGACCCACTGAGCTACACCAGCCAGGGCGCAGAGCGTAACCTTGATGAAACTAGCAACCCAGTGTCGGGGGAGGGGACCTTTTGGGGGCAGGTGCGGGGAATCTGCAGGAAGAGGCTGAAGGCAGGGAGGGAGGAAGGGAAGGGGGACCGCGTAGCCATTGCTGAGCCCCATCCTGGTTCCCCCGTCCTGCATCCCACCCACCTGCCCACCTCACCAGGCCGTGACCCGCCCCATGCTGCCCGACCCGCACCTCTCACACCCGCAGCCCCCCAAATGCCTGGAGCCGCCATCCCATCCCGAGGAGCCCAGTGACCTGGAGGAGCTGGAGCAGTTCGCCCGCACCTTCAAGCAACGCCGCATCAAGCTGGGCTTCACGCAGGTCTGGGGCCACCTGGCTGAACCAGCGGTGGGCGCGGGGATGAGGGGACAGGACAAGCTGGTGGGTGGGGCAAGCCCAGTACCTGAAAACCGAGCCCTGACCGCCGCCCTCTCCCTGCCCCACTGGCCCAGGGTGACGTGGGCCTGGCCATGGGCAAGCTCTATGGCAACGACTTCAGCCAGACGACTATCTCCCGCTTTGAGGCCCTCAACCTGAGCTTCAAGAACATGTGCAAACTCAAGCCCCTCCTGGAGAAGTGGCTCAACGATGCAGGTGGGACTGGGGCTCCCAGCCGGGTGGCAGGCACAGGGTCTGAGGAGGTGCCCTCTCACGCCCCTGTCTCCTCCTGGGCGCAGAGACTATGTCTGTGGACTCCAGCCTGCCCAGCCCCAACCAGCTGAGCAGCCCTAGCCTGGGTTTCGATGGGCTCCCTGGCCGGAGACGCAAGAAGAGGACCAGCATCGAGACAAATGTCCGCTTCGCCTTAGAGAAGAGTTTTCTAGCGGTGAGGCCCCCGCCCTGGGCATCCGTGGGGGTCGGTGGCAGAGTGGGGCCTGGGCTAATGAGCCCTCTGCCCGCAGAACCAGAAGCCTACCTCAGAGGAGATCCTGATGATCGCAGAGCAGCTGCACATGGAGAAGGAAGTGATCCGCGTCTGGTTCTGCAACCGGCGCCAGAAGGAGAAACGCATCAACCCCTGCAGCGCGGCCCCCATGTTGCCCAGTCCGGGGAAGCCAGCCAGCTACAGCCCCCATCTGGTACCAGAGCCCCTTGGGCGGGGCAGGGGCCCAAAGCCCAGCCCCCTCCTGGCCCCGCAGCAGGCACCGTGTGTGAAGCACAGTCTACCTGGCTGTCCACGGTGCTCAGAACAGAAGCGGGGAGAGTCAGCCTGGTGGGCAGGCTGTCACCCGGGTGGAGCACTGTCACACAGGGACACGGAGTTCCCAGGGGGCTGTGGTCTTATGTGGGGGGTACAAGCGCCCACAGACATGGACAGAGCCAAACAGTTGTCACAGGCACGCAGCCACACAGGCACAGGCAGGGACATCATTACACTCCCGAGAGTGCACTCGGGTCTATAGCCGCACCAGGACGCCCCTCTGTTCCATTTAGTGTGGAAACGGCTGGGACACCACAGACAGGAGCACCCTCCGCCCTGTGATGTGGGGGCAAGAGGGACCGTCTGAGCCCAGTCATAAAGGGCAAGAGAGTTAGTTAGGCCCACGAAGGACAGGCAAAGGGACTGGGGTCCACGAAGGCCTAGAAGCCAGAGCGGGTCCAGCCCAATCTGAGAGACTCTGGTACAGTTTAGTGTGGTTGGAGCTGCACTGTATTGAATTGAAGGCGGGGGAGCTGGGGAGGGACCAAAGACCCAAGTAATATCCTGAGGAGCTTGAACTTGAACTTGCGCAGTGCGGAGCTAAGAAGTTTTCAGCTATGGAGGGACAGGGTCACCTTTAGAGTGAAGCTTCTGGGAATGATGGAGGGACGAGACTGGAGGCAGGGAGGCCAAGAAGGAGGCTGGTGGGTGTTCCCAGAAAACCAAGCCGTGTGACATCCCAACACTGATGCAGAGACACAACTAACCCTTAAGCCCCCGACACACACTTCAGACCGGCAACTGCATAGTGTCGGGGGGAGAGGTGGGGGGCCCCTCAGTTGGGAACTGCTCCCTCTTGCTGGTGGCTCGGGATCCCCTAGGCTACAGGTGAAGAAAGATGGAGGAAGGCCACACCCAGAGCCCCGCTTCCCCATCCTGGGGGCAGAGGAGTGGGGGTCGTACCCACAGGGAGCACCGCAGGGGCCGCTGGGAGACAGTGGCCTAACCATGCCTTCTTTCCTCTCTCCCCAGGTCACACCCCAAGGGGGTGCTGGGACCTTGCCGATGTCCCAAGCTTCCAGCAGTCTGAGCACAACAGGTCAGGGAGAGCAGAAGTCGGTGGGGGAGAGCACAACGTGGGCCTGAGCCTGAGGGTGTCACGTGGCTCGGGGTGTCCGTGGGTCTCAGGGCCGAGCCTGCGGGTGAGGGGGCCGGGAGGACGGAGGGGAGAGGATGGTGAGAAGCATGGGGTTGCTGAAAGGTGACGGGCTTGGGTCCTGTTCCTGGCATTTATAAACTCGGTGAACTCCAGAAGTGACTTTACCTCTCTGGGCCTCAGTTTTTGTAAAACTGTTGGGAATGTGTGATGCATGCAGAAGCTATATGCATGCAGGTATACACAGACATCCGAGTGTCAAATGCACACATTCTTGTACAAAGCCCTCCTTTCCTGGGGACAGGGCATCATACACCATACATAAGAACACTATTTTTTAAATCCCACAACATTGACCCTCCTCAGGTTAAGAAATAATAAGTGGAGGTTTTAAAAAACAGTAAGGTGTGCCCGGCTGGCACTGTTCTAAATGCTGTACAAAGAATGTTGACTCATTTAATCCTCATACCCGTTATCCCCATTTTCCTGATGAGGGAACTGAAGGCCAGAGAGGTGAAGGCACTTGCCCAAGGGAGCAGGTGGGATGCGACAGAGCCAGGAATGGCTGTCCCCGCTCTCTGGCCTGAGGCAGGGCTCCGAGCCCTCTCAACCTGCCAATTCCTGAACCCAAAGCCCAATCACAGCTGCACTCCCCCTGCCTGGCCCCTAGAGGGAGCCATAGGGCTTTGTCTCCCGGGCGCCCCCAGTTCTTCCCCCTCCCCGGTTCTTGTATAAAAAGGAGTCCCGGGTGAGGTTCAGGGCAGGGTACAAGGGGCGCTAGGGGGGCTAGCATACGCTGCGCACAGGGCACGGGCTCAGTGAGTGACAGCTGCTCTTACTTTGGTGACTGTGGCTGCTGTTACCATGGCAGTGGCACAAAGAAATGGCCCAGGGAGGAGAGGGCGGGAGGCTTAAGCAGGCTCTGACTGAGGAGATGCTGGTAGACTGCGGGTGAAGGAGGCAGGCAGCGGTCAACCCCAGGTTCCTGCGTGGAGGGGGAGGGCAAGCTGAAGTCTCCCTTTCTCTCTCTCTGGCAGTTACTACCTTATCCTCAGCTGTGGGGACGCTCCACCCTAGCCGGACAGCCGGAGGGGGTGGGGGCGGGGGTGGGGCCGCGCCCCCCCTCAATTCCATCCCTTCTGTCACTCCCCCACCCCCGGCCACCACCAACAGCACAAATCCCAGCCCTCAAGGCAGCCACTCGGCTATCGGCTTGTCGGGCCTGAACCCCAGCGCGGGGTAAGTGGGCAGCTGCAGGTGGGGAGACTGTGGGGAGAAGCAGGATCACTGCTGCTTCCAGGGTGGGTAGCTGAGCCCCAGCTCTGCCGGCAGCCCGGCCCTTGCTAATGCCTCTGCTTTGCCTCTTGCAGAAGCACAATGGTGGGGTTGAGCTCCGGGCTGAGTCCAGCCCTCATGAGCAACAACCCTTTGGCCACTATCCAAGGTGCGTGCTGCCTCATGTCACTCCCATGGTCACCAGCCCCACCCCTGTGGGCCTCCAGCCCCTCCATTGCTGCTCTAGCCATGCCACCCTGCCCCCCGCTCACTGCATTGCTCGCCTCTTCATACCCATCTCACCTTCGGGGAAAGTGTGAGGGCCGCTCATTGGGGTCAGTGGGGCTGATGGAAAGACAGGGCACTGCAGGCAGGATGCTGAAAGGCGCCGCCAGCCCAGCCTCTCTCTCTCCCTGCCAGCCCTGGCCTCTGGTGGAACCCTGCCCCTTACCAGCCTTGACGGCAGCGGGAACCTGGTGCTGGGGGCAGCAGGTGCGGCCCCTGGGAGCCCCGGCCTGGTGACCTCTCCGCTCTTCTTGAACCACGCTGGGCTGCCCCTGCTCAGCGCCCCGCCTGGCGTGGGCCTGGTCTCGGCAGCCGCTGCAGCTGTGGCGGCCTCCATCTCCAGCAAGTCTCCTGGCCTCTCCTCATCCTCCTCGTCCTCGTCGTCCTCCTCCTCCTCCTCCACTTGCAGTGAGGCCGCAGCACAGACCCCTGGAGGCCCGGGGGGGCCGGAGTCAGGGTCCAAGCCTGAGTGAAGGCCCGTCAAGCCTCCCCTCCTATACCTCTGACTTCCACCTTGGTCCCTTGCCCAGAAGAGGGCGAGGAGGCCATTGGTGGGGGCGCAGAGGGTCCTCGGAGCAGAAGTGACAAGGGAGGACAGACCAAAAAAAATCAAACAACCAAAAAAAAAAAAAGAAAGAAAGAAAGAAAGAAACCAACAACAAAGAAAACCAAAAATAATCACAACAGAAACCAGCTGCCCCAAAGGAACCAGAGGTGAAACACAAACCAAAACCAAAAACAGACCAAAAAATCCCCCACAAAACCAAACAAACCAAAAACCAGTTGCAAGCCAGACCTCAGTGTGCTCACCCTCACCGCTATGACACCAAATAAGAACCCCCAGCCAGGGGCCGAGAAGCCTCGTGAGGCGGACCTCACCCGGAGACCCTGGCTGTGGGGTCCACCCACAACCTTGCCTCCCCCAGCGGAGGCCAAAGAAGGAAAAAGAACATGCCAGCCTCCTAGCCTCAGACCCCAGCCCTGGGCCAGAGAAGACAGGGCATGGCCTGGGGCAGAAGGGGGGGCTCAGAACCGCCCGCCAAATGTTCCTTTCCAGAAGGCGAAAGAGAAAGGGCCTGAACAACCTTACACCAAATATTCAGTAGCTTCATCCAAAGGATGTACAGAATTTTTAGCGTTGTGCTCAACAGAATGTGTCCCTACCATGTGTCCCTCTCTCCCCCCCAACCCCCAGCTCTCCTCACCCAGGCAGGGGGTCTCGCTTTAACCTCTTCCCTACCCCAGCCCAGGGAGTGCAGGGGAAGGCCTGGATGACTTTTCACCCCTGTACCTCCCCGATTTTCCTTTGAAGGTTGGGCTAGGCCATTTTGCAAGTTCTAGCTCTCACTCATCCCCCCAACCCTCACCAGGTCACCCTCCTCTGCTCTGGGATCTTCTCCCTCCCCAGCCCATGGGAAGGTGGAAGTTCTAGGCAAGAGGGGATGAGGTGAGGGCATTCAAGTTGTCTTTTTTCTCATCCTTGTCTGTCAGTTTCCCTGAAAAAAAAAAATCATATTCCAGTGCCTATCCGTGGAATCCTTCACGTTCTTTGACATTGACCAGAAACCAAAAAGAGAACTCATTCACTCCCCGCCCCCGCCCCATGCCCCTCTGACACTGGCAGATGCCTCTTCCTGTGCCCCCACACACATGCAGACACGCACGCACCCCAGTGGTGCGGTTCCTCGAGATGGCATCCCCATCAGGGTACCATGTGGCGGGGACAGTGCCATGACCTGTGGTGCCCATCCAAGAGGGCACTGTGGTGGCGTTGCTCCCATGAGACTTCCCTCGGGTCTTGCCTGGATCCTGTGTTTGCTCAGCCCTAGACACATCTCGACAACGACAGGCAGAGGGGAGACACCGCTGGGAGCCACTTTGCCCTCCTGCTGCTGTGGAGGCCGACAAAGTTTTGAACCAAAAACAAAAACAGAAAACCAAACAAACAATAAATTAAAACTAGAAAAAAAGAATTTATATATATATATATATATTTAAGGGAAAGAAGATGAGGACTCTTAAAGTATAAGAAGGAGCCGCGAGGCGGAGCCAAGCCCTGCCCCAATGGTCCAGGCCCTTGGTCCCCAAGGCGCGGATAGAAGGACGGATGCTTCTTTCTCTTCACAAATACCTCATGGACGTTGTCTTCGGGAAAGCCGGAGGGGGGCGGCGGGGGCAGGGCCTGTCCCTCAGCCAGGGCAGATGGAAGTGGGTGGGCAGGGCTGAGAGGGGGTGTCAGGGACTGGGGTCAAGAACCCCATGCTCCCTGCCCCACCCCAATCAACTGAAAAAGCTTTAAAAAAGGAGAAAAGGAATAAGAAGACAAAAAGAATGGACCAAGGAAAACTAACAGACTTTCGGGTGGGTTGATTCCTCCTTTGATTTCTTTTTCTGTCCTCTTCCGTCTGTCCTCTCTCTCTCTGCTCGCCTCTGTCCCCGTCTCCCTCTTTCTTCCTTCTTCTCCTACCTCTCTCAGTCTTGTTCTTTCTGTGTCTCTCCTCAAACCAAAGTGTTGCTGTGAAGGACACGAGCCATGGAAATCAGAGGGGCCCCGCCCCTCACTGGGCAGAGTGTAGCAGAGGGAAGGGCGCACCCTGGGAGGCAGTGCTGCCGGACACTCGGAGGAGAGGCAGAGAGAGCCTCGGGTGCCGCCCCAGGGCCCCAAGGCCTCAGTGTTATTCTTCTCTCGTCTCCCTTCTCCCACCCGGGAAATGAAACTGTTGGGCTGGGCCACAGAGGCAGCAGAGACTCGGCTGGTGCGGGGGACTGGGATGCCTTGTCTGGGCAGCAACGGGGTGGCCACCTCTATGATGACCCTGGCACCCATGACGGGGCCTGGCCTGCCATCGGCCTGTCCTCACCGGAATGTAAGCATCTCCGACTCCCTGCCCTCACCCTACCTCTGAATTTGTCCATTATTATTTCCTGAAGAGAAGAGACTGTTGAGAGGGCCTGGGCCCCAGCCCAAGGGTGGAGAGGGGGGCCAAGGGCTCCTGAACAGACAGGAAGGACATGTGAGCAAAGTTGAAGGAATTACAACCAAAAACCCCTCCGAGAAGAAGACAGGCAGCATGGAAGGCATGGTGGAGATGACTCAAACAAAAACTATGATTCTAGACCAAAAAAAAGCAAACAACAACAAAAAAAACCACAAAAAAAGAAAAGAAAAAAAAAAGAAAAAATGGAAAAAAAGGAAAAAAAAATCCAGGACTCACCACCACCCACTTCATCCTGCTTCCTCCCCATCAAGTCCTGCCACCCGGGACCTCTCCTCAACCCCAGTGTGGGGGGAGTGGGGCAGACAGCAGAGGAGGAAGTAGGGACAGGGACGGGCTGATGCCCTGACACTGGTGGAGGGACCCCCGCACAGCTGGGGGTGGTGGGGACCCTCCCCGTACAACCCCCATAACTGGGAAAATAAAAACAAAAATGAAAGAAAATTCCTGGGTGGGGGAAAAATAACCAAATCCCAAGCTTTAACTACAGCTGTGAAACCAAATATTGGGAAGGGGGTGGGAGGGAGGGAGGGGCAAGTGTGCCCCAGGTCTCCCCCCTGGGCCCCCTCCCCCGAGGACTCGAGATAAGGCACCAAATACCTCATAGAACTTTAATGTTAAAAAAAGGAAACCAAATATCGTTGGCTGGGGGCCAGCCAGGGCAAGGGGCTGGGGGGCAGGAGGGAACCAGGGTTGGGAAGGTGATGGGGGAATTCATGCCTCCCACCCCCCTCTTGCCCCTTCCACTCCAGTCCCCCGTCTTGACTCCGGGAAACAAAACTATCTCATCGTTTTTATTTTGTGGTCTGTACAGAGCCTGTGTCCGTGTGTCTGTGTGTGAACGAGAGAGTTGGGGGGTTGAGGGACATTATGTGGGGGCTGGGGGGGAGACTCCAGGCCAGACTCTGGGCTAAGCGAGATGAGTGAGGTGAGGGGCCAGGGGCCTGGGCTGGAAAGAGAGGAAGACGAATGGATTGGAGAAAAGGGATGGTTAGTTTCTCACCCCCCCCCCCATGACCTCCTACTTGAGGGAAGGACAGAGACTGGGTCTATCCTAAAGGTGGGCCTTTTAATTGTGCCAAAAAAAAAGTCAGTAACTAAAACACCTGTCTCTGTTCTCTTCTGAGAGGGAGGGGCTGGGTTGTAAGTAGGGGTGGGTGGAGATGGGGAATCCAGGCCCCTGTATGAGTTGGGGCTAAGATCAGGAGGAAGGAGAAGGATATGAGTTTCCCACACTTCTCCCTGGGCAGGGCCAAGAGAAAGGGGTCTCTGAGCCCCACGCCCAAGCCAAGGAGGGGGGTGACCTCCTGTGACCTGACTAGATTTCCTCACCCACCCAGATTCCAGGCTGCCTCTCTCCCTTTCAGCCCAGGGCAGGGGGAACTGAGTGAGAGAGTGAGACAGACTGAGCGAGACTGAGACACGCGGGCCCCCACTGGTCTCTGAGTGGAAAAGGCAAGTGCGAGAGATAAAGGCCTCCAAGACAAAAAAGAAACAAACCAAAGATTTAACCATTAAAAAAAAAAAAACCCACAGACAACTCCGCTACCTTTTTATACGTTGGAAAAAAAAAGCGAAAAAAATTTAAAAATAAAAATTTAAAAAAATACACAAAACAAGCCGCAGTTCCTTCGTGCGGTTTGAACTTTGACCTCAGCAGTCTCCAAAGCAAGATGACGATGACAAAGGCGAAACGAAAAATAAAAAAGGAAAAAATAATGTATATTTTTAAGTATTTGTCCTTGAGATGTTAGCTCCTTGTTAAACACAGAAAGGAGAGAAAAATCCAGACGGAAGTGTTGCTGGGACGGAGACAAATATTTACTATGTCTGTGACCCCCTCCCCTCTGCCTCCCCCTTCCTCTCCCCTCCCCTTTCCTCATCCCTGCTGCCTCTCCCCCAGCCTGTCCTCCATGCCCAGGGGCTCAGTATTTATTTATTTATATAATTGCAGGGTGACTGGGGGCCTCTCTCAACAACTTGTAGAGAAGGCCTTTGGATCATGTGGGGAAGGGGGAAGGAGTCTTTGGGGAAAAGCAGGGGCCTGATCTTCGATCAACTCCTCTCTGCTGGATCCTTACTGGCTTCTTATCCCACTGCTGCCACCATTACCTCCCAAATCCAAGGCTGCACTAGGGCAAGGTGACCCCTCCACCCACCATGTAAAGATCTGATTGGTTCAGCCCTTGCTGGGTGGGTGCTTCTCACCTACTCGTTTGATTGACCAGGTTGGAAGGGGGATGGGAGGTGGCAAGTAGTGGGCACAGGAGACCAAGAAGTGGCATCCGGAAATTGATGAGGCCCTGGAGACCTGCCTTTCCTCCATTCTCACGAAGTCAGCCCCCCTTTTCAGTTCTGTCTGACCCCTGTGTTGGTAGCCCCTCCCTTCCCATCCTGTGCCCCCTTCCTGTCTCTTCTCGTGGTAGCGGGTTAGCGTTTCAGTGTTCCTAACTCCGATCTGCTTGTTCATTGTACAATGTGCTTCTTTTAAGGCCCCATTTTTGTAACTTGAGTGTGTCATTCATCTGAACAACATTAAAAAATTAAAAACTGTACAGAGAGAAATAATGCCTGCTCTCCCTTGGTCTCCTCTCTGTTCTGGAAAGGGTGGTGGGGAAAAGTCAGGGTATGGGGGGTGGTTCTGTATGTGCTGGGGTGGGGAGGGCTTTACTTCTGGTTCAGTAAACATGCACTCAGAAGTAAGGCTTGAACAGGTTTTTTTTTTTTAGCCAATCAGGAAACCAAACCTCCGAACTTAGAATGAATTCAAATTCCCGAATTCAAAACTCAGTTCTGCCACTTTCTAGATGGTACCTGTGATAAGTGAGCTTCAGTGCCCTCATTTGTAATAGAGACAATACTTACCCTGGGGTTATAAAAATTAAAAGATGTAAATGCTTAGGACAGATCTCCAGCACAATGAGAACCACACACACACACACACACACACACAGAGCCAGGAAACCAGTTATTTCCCCACTTCCATCCCCAGAGAACTAACAAAACCCTTTAAAAACTGAGTTGACTTTGAAGTCGTTTGATGAAACAAGGTACACATCCTTCTTTTTCAGACCGATGTTCACTCAGATTTTTGTGCCCATACTAAGTCATTTAAAAGGAACAACAGCTTCACAGGAAAAGCTATGGCTGATCACCAACACCTCACCACTGAAAACCAGAAATATGATCACAAACTGGGTTTTCTCACTGCCATCAGGTCTCTTTGTTCCTGCTCCACTCTCTGATGTCTGGCACTCAGGTGCTGAGATTCTGCAAATTCAATAGTGAGGGATGGGGGAAGAGAAGTGAAGAGTGGGAGAGTTTTGATCATTTAAAAAGATAAAAAGTATTAGCACTGTGTCATTTTGGCAAGACTCAAAGACAAGTCAGTAGGGATGGGGGGATGTGGTGTCGGAATGTGTGCTCAGAATACCCTGAGGAAAGTCATTTGGTCCAGCTCCTGCTCTCAGGGTTTAGTCAGAAACCATAGACCCAAAAGCTCTTTTGTCACTCAAGCCATTCTGTGACAAG